CCCTCTTTATGAAGTGTAGTTGAAGTTCTTTTTGGCACACACGGCAATTTGCAGCAAATGTTCATCTGTTCGCTCATTCACTCACATTTTTAGTTTGATATTTAGATGAGTTGTCAACATTTACAACCATTAAAGATCAAGGTAATTCGAAAGTAGAAAGACCGAATATATTAAAATGGTCGAAATCCACAAAATAAGAGATTCGTATGGGTTAGACAAAATTCGTGTTTTTCTCTTATTTAAACAGATTGAGTGAAAAAGGTACTCACTTTGAAATTTGAAAGATGAATAATAAGAGATGGAAATAACAGTCTAACTACGATAGAGAAGTTTTAATGTTTTTATTGAAAAATTATAACCGATACACGTTTTTATAACTATTATTCGCATATCATTGAATCTTCATTAATTATACATATTTTAATATGAAAAATAAGTACAAAAATGAACGAAATGTGTAAAATTATAAAACAAATTAAAAGTTAAAATTCAGATACAACTACTCGAAGTATTATTATTATTATTATTATTATTATTATTATTATTATTATTTTATATATTAATAATAATATCATTACCACTATAACATTATAGGGCACATTTTACTTCCCCATACGTCCTTACCAGGGCCGAAAATGATTTCCGAAAGTCCACCGCCGACCCTGGGGCTGTTTCGACACAATCTCCTCAACATATATTTATTTTTTGATCTCGTTTGGAGGCATAAAGACGTTCGTCGCGCCTCGGGGGCGAGCCTGGCTTTCCCCTCGGCGTCCAATCTGTGCCGTGTGCCGCGCCGCGTCCCAATTCACCAGAGGGAGCAGATGGAGCAGCGCAATTAAAGGCGCATCGGCCCCGAAGGCTCCCCGACGGAGGTTCGCGTTGGAGATCGCGAATAAGAACGTCACACTGCGATAAGGTTGCGGAATGGCAAACGTCGTTTCTTCTTTTTCTTCTTCCTCCTTTCCTTCTTGATACATAAACGTTCTGTGATTTTAAAGTTTGGAGACGTTAAAGACAACAGATGGTGGTGGGTGTTAAACTTCATTAGTTTCATTCTTGTAGGGCACTTACGTCATGTAGGGCAACACACATTTACGAGAGACTCCACGATCTTCTTCACAATCTTACAGCCAATTCTTAGAGCTAGTTATCCGCGGGACACAATTGCTGACCACTTCGCCGGTGACAAACGTTAGACCAGTGGTTCTTTTACACATGTAAATGTTCGAAATGGAAGCGCCGGTTTGACATCCTACCCAAATGAAAGCCGACGACTATCGGGATGGTGTATGTTTGTGACCTTTATACGCACATTTCTTGCACGCTGGATCTCGATTGTTTGATGCAATGAGTTTCCTACTCTTGTTATAGCGCTGTGGTCCTTCTGAACGTGTGCCAGTTTCCTTGTAGGCTATTCAGAAGTCATTCAGTTTTTGAAAACTACTTTAACCCTTTCGTTTCTTTACGGTTCCTCGTTTGTACTGCGGTGCAATGAGATAACAACATTTTAATCTGACTTGACCATTAGGTACATTTAAATTTGAAAGTTAAAGTTCTATGTATCTGAGGTGAGAGTTGCTGACTTTGCGGGTTTCTCCGCCTCACTCCAAACCTGCACTCGCCGCCCAGCGCTCCCCTCCCTCGTCTTCACTCTTCTTCGACTTGCGCCAGCGCGGTTTCCTCTATCGGGTTCACCCTGCTTCGCTTCGTCAGTCCTCGCCTTTCTCCTCCCCGCCCTGACAAGCCACACCCCGCCAAACCCCGCCACGCCTGGCATCGCCACGTCTCGACCTGACGTCACCTCCTCCCTCCTCTAGTTCTTTCATGTCATAACGAGCCAGTGAGGTAGCCGGCGGCTTCCCTCCGCTAACTGAATACTTGATGGATTCGGCGACGAAAATTCCCTTACGCGCGTACGGTATCTCTTGGCAATTTACACGTGAAATTCTCCAGCCGCCCCCTCACCTCTCCGCGCGTTCCCTTCGTCTGCCCTTCCTCGCCTTCGAGACAGCGCCCTCGCCCCGCTTCTTCTCGAGAAGGGCGAGTTTGCTTTCGCCTCCGCTTCCCAGAAATCACATATACCCTTTCCCGCTGATAGTCATTTCCAATCTACAAACGTCTTCGAAGCTTGTGCGTTTTCTGTTCATCTATATCGTCCTAATTAAACCCGCTGTGTTGTTATAGAACTCTACCATCTGAGCAAAACCGCAACATTCGTACGTTGGCAAATGATTCGTAATCTTATCGAGAAAAATACACTCTTCACTAACGCGTCGTTGGGGATGGTTTAGCCATTCTGCCGAAGCCATCTTCAGGGCAATTGTCCGAGCATTACCGGCGCCTAGGGTTAAATTTCCTGTATAGATGAATATGATTTCACCGCGTTTTCCTTGAAGAAGGAGGTGAAAGGCGTGTCAGCGACGACGTCCTACAGCGGAGGGATGTGCTGCGTGAAGCGACGTCCACTGGCCGGTGACGGCCACGCCCCCCGTCCCTCGCCCGCCCGCGACGCCTCCCAGTAATTAACGCCCTCGCAGGAGCGGTCGGTGTCTAATTACCCGGCTGCCGCGCGGCGGCGGTGTCCTCGTGGGGCCAGCCCCTTATTCTTCCTACAGCCCTCCTTTGACGCGGGGCCGCTCTGGCTTCGTTTATCAAACGCAACGACGCGACGGCTCCCCCACTGCGACTCCGCTCGTTCGCTACCCGTTCCTCTTCCACGCCCGCTCCCACCTCGCTTCCAACACGCTTCGGCTGGGAGAGGTGCCTCGGGCCATCAACTCATGTATGTTCAGTGCCTCTAATCGACAGATCCCACATAGAGATCGAGAGGTCCCGTCGAGAGGTGGCCAAATTATTAGACTAAATATTTTTTCTCGGACTGAATGGATTTTGAAGAGTCCTGAGAAGCACTTGACAAAAAGTAACTGTTTGAAGTGTAATGTTTGTTAATGTTATTGGAAATGTATACGCAGTTAATGATACAATAAGGCACGACCAATACTTAAAAGCCCTAAAGAATCAATGATCTCTTCATATAAATGAGTTATTTGGAAAGAACCAATGACTACGCTCCCTAACACAACAGGAAATAAAGTTGGAAAACATCTTCAAGACATTGATCAGTCTAGACTCCAATGAGCTGAAAATAGCCCTGACATGAATCCCATTGCAAATGTTCTTTGGATAGTTAAAATAAACTTATGAAGAGGGCCATAAAAACCAGCTCATAAGACAACTCATTTGCATCTCGCAAAATTACACTCAAATTGACAGAGTGGATTAAAAATAGATTTTCAACATACCTCAGATCAAGTATTTTAATTATGAAATATTTATAAAACATTAAAACCCAGTGTGACAATATCTGCAGTCGAAAATACATTTTCCCATATTCAATAAATCTAGAGTAATAATTTGGACACCTCTATAGGTTCGAGTCCCGACACTGGCAGGATTTTCGACACTAGCTTGATAGCTAGGTTGTGTTTCGTCTGCAGGAGAATTCTAGCGGTGGGCTGCTCTGATCGGTAGTTTCTCGTAGTTTCTTCTTTTATATAGGAGGGGAATGCCCGAGTAGTTTCCTAACAAACGGGACATGGACAGCGCACGATCTTATCTTCCCCTTCCTTGTCCTATTATCACCCCTTACTTGGGCACACCCTTACATGCAGTACACTACCGCACATGCCGGGAGCTTAGAGCTTCTGAAGGTTGTGGCGGTGCCAGGCTGGTGGGAAAATTCTATAGGTCGGCACCGTATCTCGCCACCCAGTGGGTTCACTGCCATCTCCCGCGATGAGCAAACTAATCTTACGGGTCTAATATCCTCTCAGTGTAGTTCATTTTTCATCACAGGAATTGGCGGTGATCTCCCCCAACTGGGGGACGAGATCCGACTCCGACCTACTCGTTGTGTGTGCAAGTCAGCGGTGAATATATTCATCTAATTAAGAAGTCGGAGGTTTTTCGCCTACAATGACTTTGCTTGTGTTAAAAATGATTGCAAGTATTCAAATCTCTCCAGTCCTTGGATCCCGGACGCCAGCCCGCCGCCCCAGCTGTAGGCGTGCTAGCAGACGTGAGGCGAAGCGTGGGCGGAACGGTGGGGGCCGGCGGGGTGCGCTGCGTCCCAGATAACAGGCATGCCGATAACGACAGCTCGGAGCCCAGCGACGCGAGAGGCGCTCGCCACGTCGTTAAGCACGAAACTTGATACCGGCGCCTGCCATCGCTTTTGCTACCACCGACTGAGTTCGCTCAAGGCGAAATCTGCGCCCACAACAGTGACTTTCGCCGGAAGGTATTAGGGTTCGAATATCGACGGTTTTCGTTATTATTCCTTATCCAACGAGAAAATGAAGTAGATGTAAACATTTCCACGTCGATAGGTTGTAGCTAATTGCTGCAAATACGCAATACACATCTTCTGTGGGTTTTTTTTTAAATGTGTAATAAAATAGCCGATGTCGTTCTTTTCGATGATCGCTTTCGAATTTAAGGAGTGGAAAGAAGTTCAATGCTATGAATCAATGGAAAAATATCTTACTTTGAGCGATAATATTGATATCTATATCACTGTTTTTTGTGACAAGACCGTGGATGGTTGTATGTACGCCTCTGTCTCTCATTGCCACCTGTCCCAGTCTTTCCTCTCCCCGTAATATACACACACGCACACGCACACACACACACACACACACACACACACATATATATATATATATATATATATATATATATATATATATATATATATATTAACTAACCGTCTTCAGAATACAGGGAACACTTTTTATGTGTTAATAATATTGCTTGATGAAGGGTACAAAAAGATGTCGTGGGATAGATGCTACTTATAAACTTTCATTTTTTAAATAGCTGAGTAATAGGATTAAGTAAGGAAGCATATCATGTTGAACAGAGGTGTCTTAATATTTATTTCATTTTAAAATGATGATACATTTACTCATAAATTGATGGCTTGGCATAGGTACAAATTCCATTCTTGTTTAGTGTGTCGGCCAATCACATTATCTACAAACATAATAGGATATTTTTAAAAAAATGTTTAACATTAAAAATTTTTAAAAACTGAATAGCATTAATAAATCAATGGAATATGAATAAGTCAAATTCGTGGTTGAGGATATGTTCATAGCAAAAGGAGAATTTACTGAATGAAAAGGAAAACAAAAAAGATTCAACGGAAGAAAAGAATACATCTTAATGCTATTCAAAAAATATCAATAGACAGTTTTACATGTGACATGTTTCCATGTACAACTATATGTTTCTATATATAAAGCTCCAAAATGAAAATAAAAAACTTAATCACGTATATCACTTAAAATCTCGACATCAATTTTAGCATCATTGCGTAACTTTTTCTACGCTAGATGTATTACTCTACACTATAATACGAGAAATTAAATTCATGTTTGCAAGAAACTCGGAGCAAGCCAAAGTTGTCATAATATCTTTATATGTGAACTTCATCCGTCATAAAAGCAATTTCTCTTAAGAAATTGGCGTTGATTCTGTTTCTCCTCGCACACTCTGCAGCATATTCACAACATACAAATAAAATGTTCATTTACAACATTTATACCTGAATTACAAGTAAAATATTTCAAAAATGATTTATGAAATGTTTTAATTCAAAAATGACACGAATCTATGTGATGAATGAATTCGTAGTGTCGCTTGTGTAACACTTTTAATTTTGACAAGGTTATTGTCACATTTAGGTCGCTTCATTCTTAAGCAGTGGATAAGGGTCCCTCAAATGCACCTTTATCTACGATAATTAAGGATCACTGACGTCAACAGCACCACATCCCTCAGGTTTCAGTGTGCTACTGCTTGGAATGTTAGGCCGGTTTGAATATTCCTTTCAAAAAATACTAGATATTTTCAATAACGTTCATTTTAGGCACATACCCACACTCGAAAAACCGAAAATTGTCTGCAGAGTTCAAATTCATCCTGTAACAAAATATCTTACTTACCAATCTACTCTCCAGAAGACTTATTAGTGCTCGGAGGGGTTGTGTTCGTTCATGATAGTCCATTGGTAGTCCATGGTCCATTGGTAGTACTCGAGATTAGACGATTATCACAAAACAATATATAACCATGGGTTTTAACCTTTGACATCTCTATCGTTTGGCACCTAGTGGATGTACGACGTAGCGAAATATCTTCAGCGCCGTCAGTCCACGATAACGAGGCGTTTTCAATGCGATTATCAGATAAGTCGCCATACGAGAACCCAATCCTGAGGAGACCTCGCAGAGCTATCTCATCGATACGTTCTATGAGGTTGTCTGTGAACACCACCGTGCTGATCGGTCCAGCGCATAGTCGCAGCACTGGCAGCGTTTTCAGGTAGTTGCTGCGCACCGACAAATCTTCCAACGAATGCAAACGCGAGAAAAGTTCTTCGGGCAGCTCCGTCAGTTTGTTGTTGTCCAGGTTGAGAAGTCGGAGGTTGTACAGTTTACGGAAAATACCCAAAGGGAGCTCGCTGAGGTTGTTAACGTTAAGAAACAACTCTTCCAGATTTTCTAATGATGTGAACAAGTCCTCACCAAGATGCATCAATTTGTTGTCATTGAGGGAGAGAATCTGTAGGGAAGAAAGTCCATGGAATGTCCCATTTTCTAATTCAGAAAGTGTTTTAGTGCTGTTAAGATGAAGAATTTTCAGATTTGTCCTGCTTTTAAACGCTTCCACGGAAATAGTACAGAGAGGATTCCCGGAGAAATCTATATGAGTTAATGATGAATAAGAATTTGGTATTTGCGGTAAACTCGTGATTTTATTGCGGGCAAGAATAAGCTTATCACTAACACGGAGAGAATTATTACCAAAAATATCTATAATTTCTATACTCGAAATTTCATTGTCATTTGCGACAAGTGTTCCTATGATACTTCGACCCACAATCTCCAAAGATTTTAGATAATTACTACTCAAATCAAGATAGTTCACATTAGGGAAGTAAACTAATGCCGACTCGTTTAATCCCAGCGAATTGTAGGAAACATCGACTGCATTCAAGTGATATGATGGTGTCGGTATTGCTCCCAGGTAATTGTGATGAAGCAGCCAATTATTTGCATTGCATATGTCTTCTGGAAATATGATACTCTTTCCTCGAAATGAACAATCCCAAGTCGTGCTGGAGCAGGAACATTTCTGCAAGCCCATGACCATATTGGTGGCTATCATCAAGGCAAGAATGCCAAGTGCACTGAAAACCTTCATCTCCATGTTAAACGTTAAAGTGTTATTTTCGCACTGAAGTACTACCTCGGCTCTACCGCGCTATATATTCTCGATCTTGAAAGCGTTATCATAAAAAACAGAGTACTTCAGAAGCTCTTTGTTGTTAACTTCAAATTTATAAATGTGTTATCGTTTATCCTCGCGATAGCATTAAGTTCTGCCTTGCAAGGCGTTGCCATCTCCCATGATAAAAACAACCTGCAGTGCACTTATGAGACTAGTGATCTTAGCAGTTGACGCGCCCGAAAGCATTAATGAATAAACCAGTTATTGTATCTAATAATAATAATAATATTTATTTCCTGCTAATGAGCTTTCGCTCGATTGCGTTGCTTCTACATATAAAGACGCAAAGATAAGCATATAGGACTCATAAAGATATATAAAGACCAGTTAAGAAACATTTTATACTAAATAACTAGGAAGACATCTAACACACATAAATGTTGCCTTCACTCAGAACTCCCTAGTCGATTCCGGAAGCAATGCACAGAAGGAGAGGTAGAAGCCCCTAGTACCGCAGTAGATTGTTCCAGTCAGTTCTTGTCTGATTGATAAAAGAGTATTCAGCGAGGTCTGATTTTGATTCGTGTACTTAATTTTACATGGATGATTCCCTCTGCCGGAATATTGAAGGTGCTGTGTCCCAGTTCGAATCCTTCGAGAAGAACGAGAAGAAGAAAACGACGACTACTGTGTCTATAGTTATCGTAATGTCGCTTGAACGCGAGAGCTTGAGACGGGAGGCGACACGGGGTCCAATCTGAGCCCCGAGGGCGTGCGCAGAGGGCGCTGGAGGCGGCTCGGCAGTCGGGTCGAGTCAGGGCGGGCGGCGGGCGGCGGGTGACGTGCGACGCCGCATTAATCACCGCACACGCGCAAGGAGTAACGAGCCGCGACGCGCCTTTGCCGGGGCCGAGTTGGATGTCTCGCTCGCCCTTTCGCCGGCGCTTCGCCCCGTAAGGAGGAAGTCCGTCGAAACCGGGAAGTGCGACTGGTTGCAAGCCGATCTACTTCAGAGTTCGAGCGTGACCAGTTGTTGGAGAGAAGAAAAACATCATTCTTCTCCTGTATTATTTCAGTAGTATTCGTAACTTTTGCGTCTCCTCCGCGCAACCAATGTTTACCAACGAGATCTTTAAAGAAAGGGAATTTTACGAAGACCTGACGAATTGCACTTGGACTTTCAAAATATGAAGGATTTGTTTAAAAGACGCGTCTAAATATTAATGAGAAATGCAACCAGCAACACTTGATCTGCTATATCGTTAAATGTCAGAGCGTTTTAGGGACATAGAAACCAAAATTTTGAAGCCAAAGGCCTCAAAGAAACGTTTCTCACACCATAATCTACAGGATGAGATATTCTTGGACATTCTCTTAAATGTTTGCAAGTGTTGTGGAGGGAACTACATGTTCCCATGTCTCAGTTTTCAAACCTTTTGGAAAAATTAGGATGGTGTTTAACATACCAGAATTCTCTTGTTAGTACGCTAGTATTGTATATAAATGTATTCCTGGCAGCGGACTGATAGAAAATAGTAATACGAGTATACCTCATAAGTCAAGAAGTAGATTTTTAATGACGATTCTAGAGAGTTCACCCGCGAGACTGTTAGGCCGAGACGAGAATCCTGTTGAGTTTGTAAAAGGTCTTTTGCTGTATGATGAAAAATATTTTATTCCAGACCCCAGCAACAGAGAGAAAGTTATGTAATGCTGCGGAAAAAAGTGGAGTTTTCAGAAGAAAAACTCTTTTTGGTGGGTCCTGGTAATGGCAAAGTGGATAAATCAAGTTGCTATTTTTTTTAATCCTCGAACACGTGGTGCAGCCAAAATCCATTTTTTTGGTGCCTTGGACAGAAAAATCTATTGACGGTAAACGATATTGACGGTCTGTTCGTCCGTTTGTCTGGGAACAATGCTAGGTGCTAATCAGTTCAGACAATTTCTCCAAACTTAATATTTCTCTATCACAGGCTGATTTCGCGGGCACTTGAATTTGAAAAATTCTGGGAGGTGTGTCACATGAATTCCCTGGGGCGTTCTCAAAATTTTAAAAAAATTGTCTCCATTGTTTTTTATTAAATTGTATTGTTGGATACTGTAGAGGATGTTTACAAAATTGGGGCCGGTCTCATCACAACTCTCAGTTTTCGAAATCTTAAAAATTCAAATTTTTTCAGCATATTCCTACAATTACAGTTAGAAAGACAGAAAGTTCTGCCATAATCAATTCCATAAAGATATATTTTGAAATAAGGTCGTTCAGCAACAATTTTTCGAAAATTGAATATTTTTCGCATAATATTGCGTAAAATATAGGCAATTTTTAATTTTGTTAAAAAAATTGTCTCAAAAACGGTACCAACAACTTTGATTAAATTTTGAATAGCGAATAGGACAATTAAGGGAATGGTACAGGTCTCATTTGCATGCTGAAATTTCGTATTTTTGAAAATTGCGAAATCCCCCTATCGCTCTAGTCTCCTCTTACACTCTGGCTCCCTCTCTCGAATTGCTCTCGCTCCCGCGCTCTCTCTCTCATTCTCTTTCGCTCGCTTACTCCTCTCTCTCTCTTTCTCTCTCTCTTTCTCTCTCTCTCTCTCTCTCTCTCTCTCTCTCTCTCTCATATTACGTACTCTCCTTGTTTGAGGAACAGCTTGAGTGTAGTATTTTGAGCTGAAAATGCTTGGAAGGTGATCCCTCTTCCTTCACTCTATCCTCACTCCTTCCCTCCATCTTCACTCTACTGATTTTGCATGAGTCTTTTCACTCAGAAAATGACTTTGAGTTTATCTCAAGAGACCATCGAAGATGAATACATCACTGTACGAAGGGTATATATCATAGTGAAGGGAATATGTCTTATTCATTGCATCATCTACGAAAATTTTGTTCTGTATTCGTATTTTAAATGGAAATGAAAATCGTATCTTGAATGTTCAATTCAAACCAAATTTGTAAAAATATTTAGATTACGAAAAAAATGTCGGTTCATTAAAAATATATAAATTAGAAATATTGTATAATATTTATAAAACAATCCCAATTAATTTTAGTCATTCCTGCATTCGATTTCGGTATTTTCTCAAAATATTTGAAGTTTTTTTCTGAATTATTCTGTTGTAGGTTATTCATGAAATAGACTTCTTTAACCCGTCTCAAAATTATATTTTTAGTTACTTCTATTTACTACTTTAATTTTAGTGACTTTAAGTCGAATATCAATCAAATATCTTTAAATCTCAAATCATTAACTGAAAATCATAAATTTAAAGAAAAGTGTTTTACGTATGTTAAGAAGCTTCCGTGACCTCTGGAATATTCATTATGTATCTAAAACGCGAATGTAATTTCCTATCAAAAACATGCCTGACTTCGCAGTGGGGTTTTGCGTAAGGCACAAACAGCCACTTCCGAGTGCACTTAGCACCTCATTAATGGAGATGTCACGCCAAATAACGTTCCAGGGAGAATTCTCTTGGCTCAGGAAATGTTTTCGCGATGGTAAACAACACGTCAGATACAACTCCCGTTTTCAGCACACAACCAAAGAAAAATTCTAATTGAACTGAGGTTGCGATTTGAAACGGGCGTTAAATATTTTGGTTTCCTTTTTAAGCATTTTCTTTCGAAAATATTCAAATGCTCATTATTAAAAACCTAATATTTTACTCTTATACTAAATAACCATAAATTATATCCTTATCCACATGTGGCAATTTTGAAGACTACGGATATCCTTCACCCCTGACTAAAACACACAAAAGTAAAACGAGTCCAAAGATTTTAGTTGTAGGGTACACTTAGACTAGCTGCTTACATCGGTTTTATCTTAATGTCTTATTTGGTCATGTTTCCCAGAAACTCTGCAGATCAATCGCTGTAACATCAATTGTGTTTATATTATCCATTTCTTGAAATATTTCATATCGATTATCAGTTTTGCCCGTTGCATTACCTCTCTTTTCATTACTTCTGTCTTCTCGGTTTTCTGTCATCTCTCCCCCACCGACATGTCTCGTTATTCATGTACGTATCTACGTATATATTTATCAATTTATTTATTTATTGGGATTTAGCAACTATTTAACAATTAAGGACCCATGAGATTTATGCAATGTAGCAATAAAGACGGCAATGTGATCGTTGCTTGAGAAAAGGAATGTCAGAAAGATAGAATGGGAAAATCCCGTAAAAACCTGCCGAGTGTTCGCATTGTTCGTCACAGATTCTGCAGTGATGGGCCCGGGATCGAAGCCGATGCCAACTGCAGAGGATATGCGCTAGCCATTACATCACACCCCTGGCGTTATGTCCATTCCGCGTCCAACGCCGTCTACGACTCCAACTCCACCCCCTTCAAGCGTTCCGCCACCTCTCCCGTGCTACGCAGCGCGCTCTTGTCTTGTTTACTTGTTCGAGCGCGTGAGGGCGGTGCCATTCTTCATATGGCTTCACGTCTACCTTCCCTCTCGGATTTTGTCCCTCTCAACTTTCGTCATCATCTCATTGTACCACAATCATCACTATCTACCTTCGCCGTACGCTAAGCCGTGCACACTCTGCCCCCTCCGTCCTTTCTTCCCGCTCCGCGACCCTTGTCCGCTCGTTCACCGCCTGCCCCCGCCGTTTCCCTTTTCGTCTCGTGCGTCCTCGTTGGTCCTTGCCTCGTCCCTTCGCCCTCGTCCCACCACTTCGCTCGTCCCCTCCCTTCCTCTTCGCCCCGCATCTTTGTCTCCGTTTAACCACGTCGTCCTTGACCCGTCCCTTATTCTTCGTCCTGTCCCTTCGCTTCGTCTAGTCCTTTTGTCCCCGTCCTGTTCCTCGCTTCCATCCTCCTGTTCTCGTCCCGCCTCTTCTGTCTCCTCTCATACCACCTCATACCGTCTCCACCTCTCGTGCCACTCCATCCTAACAACCCTGTTTCTCCGTGCTCTCTCTCCAGCCCCTATTCAGTTATCTCGTCCTCGCTCCGTCGT